AAGAGGCAAAGGAGATGTGGGTTGTATTATAAATAAATAGCCTACTACTATTTTAACAATATTGGGGAGAGCTGTTTAACAAAGAATCCTAGAGAATGATCTACTGACTCTCTTACTAATAACTGGCCCAAGAAATTCCAACTCATTTAAACACGAAAAAATGGAGTAAAAATATAGACAAAAATAGTTAAAAAGTGTGCAAAAGATCACTCAAAATTTAATAAGAAAACTCATTAAAATGTCACCCTAAAGCAGATAAAAGTTTTACAATCCAAAATTTCAATGTGAATTAAAAAAATTAATGTGGAAATTGCAGCTGTGAAGGAATACCATGAAGTAGAAATCAAATCAATCAGGGAGAAGTTGAGCAGTCAACAGAAGGTATGAGCCAGACTGTCCAAAGAGTTGAATCAAAGAGTGGTATATTTCAAGAAAGAACCGGAAAAAAATTATGTAGATGTTAATACTAAATTACAAGGAGCATGAGAGAGAAGAGACATCTTAGGAAGCACAGTAAAAGGCACAGGAAAACAAGCAAGAAAAACAATGAAGTATAAATAGAAAAAATAATTAGAGAGAAAAGAAAGAGATAGAATAAAGACAAAGGAGATCCACTATATGTAGAATTGGAGTTTCTGAAGGAAAACACCCAAAATAATAGTAATGGAACAATAATATAAAATATAATTATAAAAAGTCTCTTGAAAAAAAAGGAAAATCTGAAGTTATGTATTGAAAGAGTGCACTAAATTCCATGGAAAAGTGACCCAGAGTGGTCAATGCCAAGATACAGCAGAATAGGCTATAAAGATAAAGAATCTATATGACACAAAACGATTGTGTCATCTATAAGTGAAAGAAAATCAAGCAGTCAGACTCCTCCACTGCAACACTGAATTTCAGATGACAGTGGAGCAACACCTAGAAGTTATTCAAGGAAGTAAGTGTGACTCAAGAATTTTATATTCAGTCTAGCTGTCTGTGATGGTTAATATTAGCAGTCAACTTGACTGGATTGAAGGATGCCTAAATGGCTAGTGAAGTATTGTTTCTGAGTGTGTCTGTGAGGTTGTTGCAGAGGAGACTGATGTTTGAGTCAGTGGACTCGGAGAGGAAAACCCACCTTTCTTTGTGGGTGGGCACCATCCACTTGCCTTCCAGCCAGTGTGGCTAGAAAAAGCAGGTGGAAGAAGGTGGGATAACCTTGTCTGCCGAGTCTTCTGGCGTTCTTCTTCCCATGCTGGCTGCTTGCTTCTGCTCCTCCTGCCCTTGGACATCAGGCTCCAGGTTCTTTGACCTTTGGACTCTGGGACTCATGCCAGCAGCTTGCTGGGGCTCTTGGACCTTTGGCCGCAGACTAAAGGCTGCACTGTTGCTTTTGGCTTCCCTGGTTTTGAGGCTTTCAGACTTGGATTTAGCCATTCCTGGCTTCTCTCTTCTCCAGCTTGCAGGCTTATCAGCGGACTCTGCCTTGTGATTGCATGAGCAAATTCTCCCTAATAAGCTCTCTTTTATATATACATACATCTTATTGGTCTGTCTTTCTGGAGAACCATGACCAATACGTTGTCTTTCAAGTATACAGTTTGAACATGTGAAAACTGAGGGCAGATTGTTCATATAATCCCTTCTTAAAGGAATCTATTAGAGGATAAACTCTGCTCTATTAAGAGATGATAAAGGAAACTCCAGCAAAACAGATAAGCGTTAAACACATTTAACTATGGTTCTAAGACAAAATCGTAGGTAAAACAAGGGTGTCAGTGTGACACGTTAATAGCGTGAGCTCTGACAATGTAAAAATATAGCTACAAAAATGGCTGAGAAGAGGCCTGAGACTACCCTCCTTTAAAAATCCTGCTAGAAAGGTTGGTCCTTGGCCTGCATCTGGGAACTTGAATTTGGGAAGCGTTCCCACCGTTCAGAGCTAATGAAAAGGCTTATGGTGCCTAAAGTGTTTGTGCAAACATGATTTGTACTGAACAACTGCTTTCCTTTTGAAAGTCTGAAGTTTTGGTATGTGCTAGGCAGAAAGTGTGATCCGTCCCTGCAAAAATCTTGGGCTCTTGGGCATGGAGGCTTTAGTGAGTTAGCTTTTCTGGTAGACAACATTTCACACATGCCATTACAACTTGCTGCTAGAGGAATGAAGTGTGTCCTATTTAACTCCATTGGGAGAAGAATCTTGTATGGCCGTACTTGCTTTTCTCTAGACTTTGCCTCATGCATCTTTTTTCTTTGCTGATTTTGTACATATCCTTTCACTATAATAAATTACAGCTGTGAGTACAACTATATGCTGTGTCCTTTGAGTTTTTCTCATGTGTCATTGAAACTGGGGGTGGTATTGGAGACCCTAACACTGATTGAGGGTAACCATTGAAACAAAATACAAACCTTTTGAAATATCAGAAGAATTACTATAAAAGGAAAGTAAGAGGCCACATAGAGAGCTTCTATCTATCTATCCATCCCTCCTTCTACTTGTAACATGATAGAACTAACATAAAACATCAATTGTAGTAAATCAATAATTGTAAATGTAATTAAAAGAAAAACAGATGTTCATTTTGGATCACTAAACAAAACCCAATTCTGTGCTGAATCTGAAAGACATACCTAAATTAGTTTAGAAATGTTAAAAATAAAAGCATGAGCAAATGTATACATGCAAGTGAAAACTAAAAACAGTAAGCAGGAATCTGAAATGTATATCAAAAAATTTAGACCCAAAAACATTAAATGAGAAAAAAAATATCATTCAATTTACCATGAAAATATAACAGTTATTGTGATGGTTAATTTTGTATGTCAACTTGACGGGGCCCAGATAGCTGGTAAAAAACTATTTGCGGATGTACCTGTGAGGGTACATCCAGAAGAGATCAGCATTGGAATCAGTAGATTGAATCAAGAAGATTGCCTTCGCCATGTGAATTGGCATCATCTAACCCACTGAGGGTCTGAAGAGTGAATTTGCACTCTCTTCTTCAGCTGGGCTGACCATATTTATCTGCCCTTTGACACTGGTGCTCCTGGCTGTGAAACATTTGGACTAAGACTAGGCCTCATACCACTGGTGCCCCTGGTCCTCACGTCTTTGTGCTTAGATTGCAACGACAACACCTGGGCTTCCAGCTTGCAGGCAGCAGACTGTGGGACTTCTCCACCTTCATGTCTTATGAACCAGTCTTTTGCAATAAATCTCTTTCCCTATATGCATATCTAATTGATTCTATTTCTCTGGAGAACTCTGACTAATACAGTTATATAACGTTGAAGAATAAAATTCACAATGAAGATACAATTAAAATCGTTTTCTATGTACCAGATAACACAATTGCATGAAGAAGGGAATAGACGTAATTAATAGAAAATAGACAAAACACATTAGCAATAGCTTTATTTCATTTTTCTATGAAAGATGTGTAAGATCAAGAAATTAAAAATAAGTATATAGGTAACCCACAAAATGTAATTAATAAGGTACCTCTGTTGGGACATGCATCAAACTCTGTACCCTGATAATAGAGAATATCTTCATTTCAAATTTCTTTGAAACCATTATAAAATTGACTATATATTAGACCACAATTCCAAAAAGAAGAAAAAAATCTGATAACATTAGCACAATACAGTTATATAGTAATTAATAACAAAAGCACAAAATGAAAAAGCTTTTCCACCTTGAAATAATTTTTAAAGCTGTATTAAAGGACTCTTGAGGAAAAATAAAAATTTAGCAGGAAATGCAGAATTTCTTGAAAAAAGTTATCAAAAAACACCACATATCAGAATCCATGGGATAATCCGTGCTCAGAAGAAAATTTATAGCCTTAAATACTTACAGCAAGAAAAACAGTAAAAATATGAAAGATAGAAAAATAACAAAATAAATTTTAAAAAGTCAAAGGAAAGGATTAGCAAAGATACAAGCAGAATGGAGGTTAGAGAATATAATTAATAAATAAAATAAAAATCTGGTGATTTCAAAAAAATTGATTAAATGAATAAATTACTAGATAATCCAATTAAGAAAAAGGAAGTAAGTACAAATATACAAGAGAAATGACACACAAAAAAGAAAACAAAAAGAAGACACTAAAACATGAGGTATATTTTGTATAACTCTATGAAAGTAAATTTTAAAACTTGAATAAAATAGTTTCCTAAGAAAATATTGCTTAGATATATGACCTAGGGGAGAAGGAAAATCCCCTTTCTTTTTTTTTAATTTAATTTAATTTTAAGTTCTGGGATACGTGTGCAGGACGTGCAGGTTTGTTACATAGGTAAATGTGTGCCATGGTTGTTTGCTTTACCTATCTACCCATCATCTAGGTATTAAGCCTCACATGCATTAGCTATTTATCCTGATGCTCTCCCTCCCCGCGAAGGCCCTCCACCCCTGCCAACAGGCCTGAAGATCCCCTTTCCATAGGAATAAAATAAAGAAATGGAGAAACTCGGCTATCTCATTTTCTGTCCCTAGGCTCCAAGTCCAACCTTCTAAATTTTTCTCTGTTGTGCCAGGGCTGGGGCCGGTTTCCAGGTTCAAACTGCAGTTCATAGGTTCCTTTGTCTGCTTTCTTCTGTCAATAGGGAGCCCTAAAGGAGGTTGGGAGGCAGGAGCAGAGGGAAGGAACTTTCTTGTGGTTTGTTGCTGTTTATGTCTGTTATCCCTGCAGCTACACTGCCCCAGTAGGGGTGTTCTACTCTTCTGCTTCCAGCGGAATCCTTGGAAACAGCTTTGTTTTTCCCTTGAGGTGAGAGCTTCCGCTCTGCTAAGGTCCTCTTCTAAGGTCCTAGGTTTTTATAACTCAATTCCCTTTCCCTTTGGGGCTTCATTTCTAGGGGTGGTACCAGCATTCTGCAGTTATCTCTTGCTGTACCTCACTGCTCCCTTCTTGTTCTTTCACCTTTTCAGTACCTGTGTAATTCATTCCCTATTTTAAATTCCATCTGATGAAATATGTAGTGGTTCTTTTCGCCCGACTTACCCTTTTGTGGTTCACTTTCCTCAGATGTAAAATGGAGATGATGATGGTGATGACAGTGATGATGACTGACAGTGATGGTGGCAATAATCCTTACCTCCTTAGCCTGTTGTAAAAATTAAATGAGTTAATGTGTGTGAGTTCTGACAACTGTGGCACACAGTAAGCTCACTATCAATTATTATGAAAAAGATTTACCCATCCACTTCAACTTCCCCACAAAAGCACCAGGCCTTGACAGATTTACAGGGGACTATTACAAACACTTTAACATGCAGATGCTTCTATTGCTATTTAATCTATTCTAGAGTGCTGAAAAGAAGGAAAACGCCCACATCAATTTTTGCGATGTGAGTACAACCTTGATAAGAAAGTTTAAGAAAAATTTTATAAGAAAGATAATAGTCTTACTTTATAAATAAAGATGAAAATCTTAAATAAGGCATTCACAAAGTAAAATTCCAGCACATGAACGAATAATACATCATGACCATGTCAGAAATGAAAAAAAGTCTCAATATTAGAAACTCTCTTAACATAATTCATCATATTAATAAGTATCATTAGTGTAATTTACTGTTTGAGGCCTCAGGGCTGGCTTAGTCTATGATACTTTTCTCCTTTCTATCTTCACTCCTTTGGAGATCTCAAGTTCTCTTGACTTCAAATGCTATCCATGTCCTGTTTTTCTACAGACTTCAAGTTAAGAATTGCTTTTACATTTTTTTTTTTGTAAAAAATAACAACAGAAAAACAATGAAAAAATCCCCAGTAGAGACTATACATGCCTCAAAAAGCCTAAAATGTTTACTATCTAGTTCTTTGCAGAAAAGGTTGGACTGTGCTCTTGGATACAATATAATGGCTTTTGGGGTAGACTGACTTTAACATTAAAAAAAATTTAAACATAGCACACATTCAGAAAAGTGCACATACCCTGTGCACTGCTGTATGAATTTCATAAACTGATCACAGCTATGTAACCAGCACTCAGCTCCACAAACAGAATATTACTCGGTCTCCAGAAGCTACCTTGTTCTAGCACTGGTCTGGCTTTTGTTCTTGCAGATGCATATCCACATTTCCACTTCATTATAATCTTTAGAGTACAGTTTTCAAATGTGTCTCTCATATTCTTGATTTATTCTTTACCAACTCCCTTCCCACCAGAAATAAATATGCCTTAACTTTATCATCTTGCGAAATTCCTTTGAACAACTTGAAAACTTTAACAGAAAAGAAAATTCAAAACTATATCAAGTTGAGCAGCATGAAACTAACACAACAGCATCGTGTAGGATGGCAGTTTATATTTTTTCCTAAATAGACCAGAACATAACACTGAGAAATAACATAGTACTTCACTTTAAATAGATGAGAGGGAATTATGCTTTGTGTCTTCAAGGTAGCACATACACAATTTAATGCCAAAGTTGCTATGGAAACTATTGAATGATAGGAAAAATAGTTGCATAAATCTTTATAATTCATGAATTTCTGAGAATTTTCAGCTTTAAGTTTATAATACACAGAACTTCTTACCCATTGAAGCATTCATCTATTTGGTAAACATATTTTTTTTTTGTCTATATGTGCTGAAATACTTCTATTGATTGAATTGGTCTGAAAAACCTACCTGAATTTTCAAAATTCTGTTTTGAAGGCTTAAAATTGTTAAACATTTTTTATTTTTTTGAGAAAGAGCCTCGCTCTTTCACCCAGGCTGGAGTGCATCTTTTAGAAAAGATGGGGGGAATCTACATCCTGGACTACAGAGACACTTACCTTTTAACATGAGGTTGTTAATTCCTTAAGCCTTTACTGAAGCCTTCTCTCTCAGCGTTTTTTCAGGCACCGGGGATAGAGCAGAAAACAAGACCACAGGAGCAGAATCACTGTTCTCACTGATGCTTTCCTTCTGCCAGTGGTAGACAAATGATAAACAAAAATATTAGCTAGTAATCGGTGTTCTAATGAGAATCAAACAGAAGGGCTATTTATTTTGCTAGCGGGTAGTCAGGGAAGTTCTCATCAGGAGATTATATTTGATCTGAATTCTGAATTGCAAAAAGGAGGCAGTTGGGTGAAGATCTGGGGAAATACCACTCAGGTGGAGGAAAAACTGGGACAAAGTGCTCTAGGACATGGATGAGCACAAGAACTGCAAGTGAATTTTAGTACTTAGTGTCCAAGTACAATTCAGAGATCATTGTGTTTTTGGACATTTGGGGTATGCCATTAAAAGGAAAGAAAAATTTTGCCTTTTCTGTTCACTACCTTCTCTGCAGTCACAGCCTTGATGCTTCAAAGTGATTCCTGCCCTCAGACAGAAACAGAGTGTTCAACCACAGTATTCTAACTCAGCATGCACAGTTAGAAGTATACATATCTTTTTCTTTTCCATTGCCTCCTTTCCCTTGTCCACTCTCCTTCCTGCCATCCTTCCTGCCTGCCTGCCTTCCTGACTTCCTTCTCTCCCTCCCCCTTCCCTCGTTCCCTCCCTCCCTCCCTTCCTTTGTTCCTTCCTTCTTTTCTTCCTTCCCTCCCTCCCTTCTTCCATACTTTTTCCTTCCTTCCTTTCCTTCCTCCCTCCCTCCTTCCTTCCTTCCTTCCTTCCTTCCTTCCTTCCTTCCTTCCTTCCTTCCTTCCTTCCTTCCTTCCTTCCTTCCTTCCTTCCTTCCTTCCTTCCTCTCTTCTTTCCTCCCTTTCTTTCACAAACATCTGTGAAGTGCTCAGAGTGTATGTATGTGACAAAGACACAATAGAGGAAGTTTGGTGGGGGGCAGATCCATCAGTTGGAGTTCACCAAGAACAGGTGGTCCTCATTCAACAAATTCAAATGCACAGCTTGCTTCAGCCTTGGCTGATTTTCCGAGGCAGAATTTAAAAGTTCCAGATTCCTAGATTTCAAAACACAATAACCTCTTCTGTTTGTTTCACTTATTATAGCAAATGTCTCTCATTTGTGAGATCAACATTTTTGGTGTGCACATTATGAGGTAGGAGTGTGGGGGAAAGTGTTATGCCAACAGTGAGGGGGAAACTAAACTTCGTCCTCTAGCATGAAAATAATGACTCATTCCTTTACATCAGGGTTGGCCTTTGGGATATTGGTTTTAAAAACTTAACTCATTGGCGGCAAAAATATAAAAAATAACATTCACACAACAGACATACCCATGAAGCCATTAAAAAATCCAAAGTGGAAAATATGCTGAAGATGACTGTAAAGACATACCATAGCATGTAGCTCATCCAGACAGGAATACATTTTAGAGCATTTTCACAAGGGGCTTGGGAAGGATGACTTATCTGTTTTACCCTCTCTGGGTTACACAATGTTGAATACAACTGTTAACAGTGTCAACAGCATTTGGATATTACGATTACTATTATTGTTGTTTTAATTAACACTATGAGGAGCTTCTTTAACTCGAAATTTTATGAAGACAATTGAAGGTTTAGCTGAGAATAGCTGAATCCACATTAACAAATGAAAACTATGTATAGTTTATTCACTACATATATAACTTAAGCACAATTATATTTGTAGTTTTAATAACTAGATATTAACTTTCTATCCCCTTCCACTAAGAGGTAGTGTAACCCTTAGTTTTGCCTTGCAAGGGAAAGGGCAGCTCTGGGCTGATGTGGATTCTCTCTTTCTTCAATGCCTGTTGATTCACGCCCGGCCCCCCACGAGTTGGTCATGGGAAAACTGCTTCAGTTCATTTGGCATATTAGGTTCGGAACTATTTGGACAGTTCTCAGTCTCTGCTTCTCCAATTTTGGATATTCAGTCTGTAAGCACAGTTTTTGTTGCTTTTCCTCAATGTCCTTTTAAAAACACTGGCTGGTCAAGGCTGCTGTTGTGTGGCCCAGGGTTCTCAGCACCATCTCTCTTCTCTCTCATGGGCGCTTCTAGACTTGAGCATGGGGAGGGCTTGATCAATCCCGAGTTTCTATGTGCCAAGCAAACACACAAATGATTCCCCCTTTCAGTGACTGTCTGTGGACCCCGCACTTCTCCCTGGTGCCTTGATGAACAACTCCTCTAATTGCCTATAAGCTCTGGTCACTGTCCACCTGCTTCCACCTACCTTCCTACCTACTTCTGCCTACATTCCTGCTCTCTGTGCTTCAGATACACAGGACTTTTCCTAGTTCCTGGAAAAGGTTCCACGACATTATCTCCTGTCTCAGGGCTGTCTTACATGCTGCTGCCTCTGCCTGAAAAGCTTTTCTGCTGTGGTCAACCTTTTCCTCTGCCCCAGCATCCCTGCCTGTTTGTGCTAGTTGATTCCTCCCCATTTCTCAGATCTCTGTGAAGTGCCTCTGCCGTAAAGATGCTGTCCTTGGCCATGTAGTCTATACTGGACTTGCTTACAATATGTTCTCTGCATTAGTCAGGGTGGTGCTAACTGTTACAACAAATAAACTTCCAAATTTCAGTAGTTTTACACAAATTTTATTTCTTCCTCACTGTTTTAGGTTCCTAGGACTAATGTAATAAAGTACCAAAACGGAGTGGCTTAAAATAACACAAACACATATTGTCTCACACTTCTGGAAGCTGGAAGTCTGAAATCAAGGTGACAGAAAGGCCATGTTCTCTCTGATGGCTCTAGGGGAGAATTCTTCCTGGGCTCTTCCAGTTTCTGGTATTTACCTGTAATCCTTGGCTTGTAGCCTCATCACTCCGGTTCCATGGCCCTGTTCTCCCTGTGTCTTCACATTATCTTCCCTCTATCTGTGTCTGTCCGTGTGTCCAAATTTCTCCTCTTTATAAAGGACATTAATACTATGGGATTAAGGCCTACTCTAATGATCTCATTTTAAGTTGATTACCTTTCTAAAGACCTCTTTCCAAATAAGGTCACTTTTTGAGGTAATAAGAGTTATGACTTTGATATATCTTTTTTGGGGAACACACTTCAACCCATAATACCCACAATGCTCTCAATGTTTTTGGTCAATGGGCAGCTTTCCTACCCATGACGAAGGAGGAACCAGACTCCTCCCACTTTATTGCACTCTGCTGCCTTAGGCTTTGGCATCATCTGTGTCTAGCTGATGAACAAAGAAAATGTGCAAAGGCACATTACCTCACACCCACACTGGCCCAAGAGGTGGTAACATCCTTTTCATTCACATGACCTTCTGGAGGACGGGTCTCAGGGCCTCATCTAGATGCAAGGGGAGAATGGAAAATGTAGTCCCTGCTGGGCAGTGCTTCTTTTTTTTTTTGGACGGAGTCTCACTCTGTCACCCAGGTTGGAGAGTGCAGTGGCACGATCTCAGCTCACTGCAAGCTCCACCTCCCGGGTTCATGCCATTCTCCTGCCTCAGCCTCCCCAGTAGCTGGGATTACAGGTGCCCGCCACCATGCCTGGCTAATTTTTTTGTATTTTTAGTAGAGATGGAGTTTCGCCATGTTAGCCAGGATGGTCTCGATCTCCTGACCTTGTGATCTGCCCGCCTTGGACTCCCAAAGTGCTGGGATTACAGGCGTGAGCCACCGCGTCTGGCCTGGGCAGTGCTTCTTAAGCCATCTGTGGTGAAGAGCTGGCATTTCTATTTACAATTCATCACAGGCCAATATTTTATAAAACAGAATTAAAAATGTACTATATTTAAAAAATGAGTGAAAAGCATGCAAAATACAAGCTCCATTTTAGAAATTATTAAATTTAACAAATCTAAAGTTACTTTACCAAAATTCTGCAAGTTTCTAAAGACTTAAATTCTCAATTTCCACACTTATTCTTGTCATAGACCACTAACAGTTTGCAGATGGGCACTGGTCCATGGCCCACACTTTGAGTAGCACTGCCTTACATTGTGGAAGGAAGTATCACATTTGTCATGTAGATGACCATCTCTGCCTCACTCTAGTAGCCCCTGGCACTTGCCCTAACCCTGTTGTCAGACTTTATTATGCTTATCTGTTTGACAGTTGTCTTTCCTGCTCATCTAGACTCCAAACTCCGTGAGGTCAGAGACCATGTTTGTTTTGTTTATGACTGTGTCCTTAGAACTCAGTTGAGTGACTGGCATAAAGTTAGAGATTAAGAAATATTTGACAAAATTTTGTTTCTGGTCTGTATCTGGAACAAGTCAGTACCTGGAACAATTCCTAAGAAAAACATGTTTACATAAAATTAGTGACATTAATTTACTTAACAGAAGCTCTATTATTTTCATTTGCTTTTAAATGTTTTCCTTTTGCTTTGTTTATCAAGCACTCATGCCCTAACTCTATATAGTACAGAAAAGAAGGAGCTCTTTGAAACAATGGGCCAATGAAATGACAAGCAGGAGTCAGGCTGGATGGCTGGCCTTTGTTAAAGCAAGAAGAATGGTAATAGTTTTCCAAACTCTTACTGAACTTAGGAAGAATAATTTTGTAAGCAAAGTAAGAATATTTTTCTAAAGAAGTAAATACTGAGAAATAAAGAGAGGGCCCAGTTAGTTGCCATAATCAATGAGAATTCTTCCATGAAGACAGAAAAAGAAAAATTGTAGATAATAGCTTTTGAAAACATGTACCCTTGGAGAATGGAATATTGCTGAGTTCTATAAGGAAAAATTTAGTGACTATTCCAAATGCAAAATTCAGAAGTGGCCCCATTAGTCAAGCAAGAATCTAATAAATGATTTGAGCAGGATTATTTGTAATGTTTTTCTCCAATAGCTGGAAATACTATTGTTCCGTAGAAATAACTTTGGAGGATTTTTTTTTTCTAATTTTATATCTCATAGCCTTTTTAAAGAGTATAGTTGCTACACACGGAAAGGAACATATAGTTAACATGTATACATTATGAAAAATAGCTAACATTTATTCAGAGATTACTTGTGTCAGGTACTGAACTACATACTTTTCCTTTTGCTTTTTTGTTTTGTTTTGT